TTAGCAATCTATTATACGTATTCCTGTCCCCTCTTTCCAGCGAGAAGCAAACGGAACCTACATTGATTCCTGGAGGATCTTGGAGCCCCGTCGCCGTCGCTCTCAAACTCTCCTGACTCCTCCTCACTCGACTCGCCACGAAGGACACGACCGACTCCTTCGAGAAGCCGTTGCCAAGTCCTTCTGCCTCTCCCGCCGTCGCCGCGGAAGCCAGGACGCCGAGGAGAGGAGAGGAGAGGAAGAGAATGGCGAAGGCGAACGGTCTCGTCGTCGCCATCTTCGGAATCAGCTGTTTACATAGGGAGCGAGAGAGAGAGAGAGAGAGAACTGGGTTAGACACTTCGGGATATTTTGTTTATATACGCTGAGAGAAACCTTTCTGCGCCTGCTCTCTCTCTCTCTCTTTCTCTCCGAGGCTTTCTTCTTCGTCTCCTTCTTCTCAATTTCTTTTTTCTTTTTCTTTTTTTTTAAGATGAAGAACAAGCTCATCATAACTGTCACCAGCATGTCAATGGACGTGATAAGGTCAACAGATGACCTTCCTATGACTGTCATCAGGCCGTTGTGGGAAAGGTCCTGTCTAGCCTTGAAATCCAAATCTTACTCTTAGCCTCGATTTAACATAGCATATGTATATATATACATTCATACATGCACACACACACACACTCCTTTATATATATATATATATATATATATATATATATATATATATATATATATATATATATATATATGAGTGTGTGTGTGTATGTATATAATCATTAAAAATAATAATCTTATGTATTTAGAGGAAAGAAAGTCATTTGTTTTTGTTTGTTTACCATTGCGCAAGGCGATGCTCCTCTGACCTTGATTCGCTACTGTGTCGTTTGGCAGTCGCCTAGATTATATACGGTAATTCTAAGATTTCCTGCTTATTTGTGATGAACAGTTCTCGCCGTATTGTACTAAATATACGTGATTGTCCAGAGTATGTATTTAAGCAGTAATAGGTAACAGAAGTACCGGAGAAGCGCGTTATAAAGGTGTGAAATATTTAATGAGCCAGTCACGTAGATGGTATGTGCTGGGATAAACAATTTACCCGTTGTGTTGAGCTGCGAGAAGTAAATCCGTTGAATTTAACTACATATTCGCATTTAAGTAATTTGATTTCATTTAGGTTGACGTTGTGTGTTGGGAGAGGCGATTAAACTTGAGATTGTGGTATTTGTATTGGTGACTTATACCCTGATACTGTAAGTGAAGTATAAGTCAATCATTTGTTTGTATGAAATATTTCTGTGATACAAGTATATATTCTTATTTGTGATAAAAGTATGTTAGAGAATGAATGTGAAACATCTTTATGCATGATGTTATTATGTTAAAATCTATCATCTTGTATATTGAACTTTGAGGATATTAAAATACCTTAGATTTACCACATTAGCCTCGCAATACTTACCTATGATTTTATAGCATTAGAATAAGTCATTTGGAATCCTGATGTAAAAAATAACCAAAAACATTACATACTATTTACTGTGATTTATCGGTTATTTGTTATTTGATACTAAATATGCATTTTTACAGGTTGAATGATAAACAATAAAGAAGTTTTGTCATACGGCTGGTTTTTGTGTCTCCTAACATTGCAATATGTATATATATTTGTGTATGTGTGTGTGTATGTATATATGTTTATATATATATACACACATATTTATATATGTACTTATATATATATATATATACATATATTATATATTTATATATATATATATATATATATATATATATATATATATATATAATATATATATGCATATACATATATCTTTGCATATATTAATGTTTATGTGTGGGTATGTAAAAAGGAAGAATATATAGATAGATACATACATACATATATCGTTGTCTGAAATAAAGTCCGTCATTAATCATAATCCATTGCAAATACTTAACATTCTTACCGAAATAAAACCACAAGAAAAATGCATGATATCAACTTCCAAGTTAAAGAAGTCTGGTAAACTTTGATGACTGAATAATCGAGGCATTATTTTGATTACAGCTTTAATAAGTAACAGATGATATAATGGATAATTAATGATATAATGTAACGATAGGTATATAATGATATAGTTTGGTATAATGATATAGTATAATGATAAGTAGATTTAGTGCAGAATGTTGTACGCAGTAAAGATGAATATATTAATGTGTGTTGCTTTTATAATTTTTTTGTTTTCTTTTTCTTCTCCTCCTTTACTTTTTTTTCCCTCTTCTTCTCATTCTTCTTCTTTTCTTCTTCTTCTGAGTTTTCTTCTACTTTTCTTCTTCCTTTTCTTCTCATTTTTTCTTTCTTTTTTTCTCTTGTCCTTCTTCCTCTTCTTCTCATTCTTCGTCTTTTTTCTTTTCATTCTCCTTTGCTCTTCTTTTCTTTTTCTTTTCATTCTACTTCTCGTTTTTCTTTTTCTTTTCTTCTTCTCATTCTTCCTTTACTTCTTCTCTTTCTTCCTTTACTTCTTCTTCCTCTTTGCTTCTTCTCATTTCTTTTTTTTTTCTACTTTTTCTTTTCTTCTAATTTTTTTTTTCTTCTTCGTCCCTCTTTCTTTAAGGAACATACGCAAAAAAGGGAAATTATAGTTGATTCCAGTGACCGTGAGGCAAGTCGAAGTCAGGATGAAGCTGGTTTTCAATAATGAGGATAAAAAAAAGAAAAAAAAAGAATCTCAGGACATT